AGTGAATACGACATCTCGATCACTGACAATACTTTTGGGCATACCATGGAGTCGAAATACTTCCACCATGAATACCCGAGCTACATCTCAGGCCATATAGGGGTGCTGTAAGGCCATGAAGTGACTATACTTAGAAAGACGATCAACTACCACCATTATTACCATTTTCCGGTCCGAGGGTGGCAAACCTTCAATGAAATCCATACTGACTTCTGTCCAAAATTGCTCTGGTATTGGTGATGGTTGAAGTTGACCCGGTACCGGTAAGTTTTCTCCCTTGTTCCTATGGCATGTTTCATAGTGTTTGATCCATTCCTTAACCTGCTTCTTGTACCCCTGCCAGTAGCACACTTGATTGAGTCGGTGCATAGTTCTATGAAAACCTTCGTGACCTCTAGCTGGTGAAGTGTGGAGCTCATCGAACAATTGCCTTCACAGCAGAGAACTGGGGCCGATCACCAACCTTCCCTTTCACCATATTAATCCTTCTTTAACTGTGTATTTTTTTCCATCCCCCTTGCACTTGAGTTGTTTTCTCCACTTCTTCATGTGCGAGTCTGTAGCCACATCTGCCCGTAGCTTCTCTACCCAACCAGGTATTGGTCCCGAGATAGCGACCAACTCACCTTGGATGCATCATGACAAGGCATCTAYGACCACATTCTCCTTCCCCTTCTGATACTGAATTTCAAAATCATACCCGAGGATTTTACTCAACAACTTCTACTGGAATGGTGTGGTTGCTCTATGTTCCAGAAAGTACCATAGACTCTGGTGGTCAGAACGGACAATAAATTTGTGGCCAAGGAGGTAGGGGCACCACTTCTAAATAACGAATCACAATTGCCAACAACTCCTTATCATAAGTGGACATGGCTCGATTACGGGGACTAAGGGCCAAACTGAAGAACACAATGGGCCTTCCAAATTGGGATAATACTGCACCTATTCCAACTCCATTGGCGTCGTAGTCCAGGGTGAATGGATGGGCGAAATTGGGCAAGGCTAGCACTAGAGTAGTAGTGACTTCTCTTTTCAGGGCTTGGAAAGCCCCATCTACTTCTTCGTCCATCTCCAGGCTCCCTTTTTAAGCAAGTTTGTCAAAGGCTTGGTGATCTTCCCGTAATTTTGAATGAATTTATGGTAGTACCCTATCAAACCTAGGAATCCCCTGAGCTCTGATATGTTATGAGGTTGCAGCCAAGCTTGCATGCATTCCACCTTCTCGGGATCTACCTCCATCCCCATGTCGAAGATTATGTGCCCCAAATAACTCACCCTTCTTACCCCAAAGAGACATTTGTTGGGTTTCACATACAACTTGTGGCACCGAAGCCTTCTCAACACTTCTTTGAGGTGTTGCCAATGCTTTATTTCTGTCTTACTGTAAACAAGGATGTCGTCCAAGAAAACTAACACCAACTTTCTTAGAAGGTCCTAGAACACTTCGTTCATTAATGCTTGAAATGTGAAAGGGGCTTTGGTTAACCCAAAAGGCATGACCAAATATTCATAATGGCCTTTATGGGTGTGGAAGGTCGTCTTGGCAATGTCCTCTTCTCGTATGCGGATCTGGTGATACCCTAACTAGAGATCTAGCTTCGAAAATATCCGAGAGCCATGAAGTTTGTCCAGTAGCTCATCTATAATGGGTATCAGGTATTTGTCTTTCTCAGTCCGGCAACTTCGATAATGTACACACATTCTCCAACCTCTGTCCTTCTTCCCCAACAACACCGGGGAGGCGAACGGGCTGTTGGTTGGACATATGGCACCATGTTCCAACAATTCTCGGACTAGCTTCTCTATTTCCCCTTTTTGATAATAGGGATACCTATACGGCCTCTGACAAAACGGTCCAGCTCCTCCAGTGAGAGGTATGGCATGATCGCACCGTCTATGTGGAGAAAAACCCGACGGATCTAAGAAGACATCGGAGTATTCTTGTAATAATTGTATAAACACCTGGTCAAGCTGGAGGGTTATCCTTTATCTCGGGCTCCTTGAGGATTTGTAGCAAGAATATGTCACTAGCTTTAGAAACCTGCTGATGTGCCTTTTCTCCATTTATCATTATGGTCTCTCTCTTTCTTAATCCTTGTAGCTGATGAAGTCCCTGTTCGTCATGGAAACTGAGTGTCATTGAGGAAAAATTCTAGGTGACGTCCCCTAGTGTTTGCAACCACTGTGCGGCCAAAACCGCATCATACCCGGGTACAATCAAGAGGTAAAAATCTGCCTTTAGAGTTGTCCCTTGAGTTCGGATCTAGACTCCATCACAACAGCTGGTCCCACGTAACTTCTCACCACTAGCCATAGTCACCACAAAGACTGAGTTGGCCAATAGGGGTACCTGAGCTCGTTCTACCACCTTGGGCTCAAGAAAGTTGTGGGTAGACCCACTGTCAATAAGTAAGACCACAGGATGGGTTTCTAGGGTACCTTGGATTCACATAGTTTGGGGCATCTCTAGTCCCTTCATAGCATGTAGGGAAATCTTAGCCTTCGGCTCTGATTCAATTTCCGGTTCTTCTTGTTCCTCCTCTGTTTCTGTCACGATCCAAAACAATTTTTGCTTCTTGCAACGATGACCAGGAACAAAACGCTCGTTGCAATTAAAATAGAGGCCCTTGTCTCTTTGTTCCTTGGCTTCTTCCGGCGTTAGTCATTTTATCTCTGGTGGGTTCATCCTTCTGATAGTACCTAGAGGCTTCAGCGGAGGATTATTTGGAGCAAGAGAGGATCTGCTACGGGGTAGTTCCACGTGAACCGCCTTCCTTCGAGCATTCTGTTCTTCTTCTTCTTCTTCTAGAAAGGCAATGCAGAAGGCTCTGGCCAAGGTTCGAGGTTCCAGCTTTTCTACTCCATCTCAGATCTCCACCTTCAAACCGGAGACAAAGCATCCAATGAGATAGTCTTCTGATAGGGATTTGACTCTACTCGATAGCCTCTGGAAATCCTCCATATACTCCTGTACAATCGTCGTCTGTTGTAGTTTGGTTAACCTTCCCACATAATTACGACCTTGTGGTCCAATGAATTGAGCTTCCATTGCCACTATTAACTGAGACCATGTGGGATTGGGTTGATACTCACGAAACCAGCTATACCACTCCACCACTCGCCCTTTGAAGCCCAAACTAGCCACCGCCACCCAGCGTTCCACCGGTACCTCCTGGATCTCCAAGTATTGCCCGACCAACAGAAACCAACCTTCCAACCCCATCCCATTGAATTTGGGAAGGTCCACCTTCCAAAATCTGGACTGGTGGCCAAACCCATTCCCCATCTGTGGTGTCCCTTCGCCGTTGCACCTAGGCTCTCTGTCTCCCCCAGGGACAACGTGTTCGTTAGCCCTCCCATTTGAGCCTTCCTGTGACTCCATTTAGAAGGTAAGTCGATTCAACCTCTCCGTTATCTCCGCCAGCTGATGCAAGATGGCCTCCTGAGTTTTTTGAAGAGTCTCTTGCGAGTGCTCCACCCCACCGAGTCTCTCCTCCACACTCGACATCTGAGCTTCTTGAAGGACCTCCCGCTTTGATATGTTATGTACCTCTTCTTATTGCCGAGAAGAGAGGCTTGGGTTTCCCCGAGCTATGGTGTTTGTCACCACTCAAAGGGGAAGATGTTGGCAAGCCAGGGGATAATAGAACTCTATAATAGTTTGGATTCAAAGGTGCCCTTCTTTATTACATCTTTACTATCTATGACTGAAGGTGGTTACAACAGATAGACACATCATCAATCAAATCATAACCGAATGCATAGAGCCCTGATTGTAATCATTAGTATCGGATTGGATTTCAGGGAGTAACTGTAAGAATATTCGCTCCTTGCTGGTGAGGACGTGACAACCTATGACGAAGAAAGAGAGAAAAGGGGTTTTGGATTCATATATTGAATATGAAGAGCGACATGGTGATTGTTAGAGGAGAAGCCGGTCTAGATTTCGATGAAGCCAATAAGCTTGGGGCGGTCAACAAGGCCATCGTTGTCGTCGAACTTGCAAGAACCAGAGGAGTGTCTTCGGCTTGACCATAGTGGAAGATGGGGAGTAGTTTGTGGCAAGTGAGAGTGAAGATAGGGAACAATAAGGGTATTTTAGGAATTTTGAAAAAAAATTACTAGTCATGTGATGTCACATGTGAATGGAGTGTGATGGAAAGTTAATGACAAGGAGGTTTTAGACAATTGTTAGAAACAAAAGGGGTACTTTAAGACAATACTTAAATAGTAAGAGTAGAGTTAATCAATTAACAAAATCATAAGGGTAGTTTAAGAAATTTGGCCATAATATTATGAAGAGCGGTTTTATCAAAAATCATCATGGTTTTTCATTCAACCATTAGTAAAATAATATTTAAAAATGAATATTCATTAACACAAATATCAATAGATAGATATATAATTTATATATTTATAATACTTGTAATCGAATAGCCTAATGTTTGAATTCAATTTGATTAATTAGTCGATATTAAAATCACATTCGAATTCAAACATTCATCCAATTCAAATTATCTGAATGCGACTCAGATCTTGGATTCATAGTCAAATTTTCAAATACCGTTTACAGGCCTAAACTTAATTGATGAAATGCTAACAAAGGGGGCCTTTGTCTAACAGCCATAATTCGGGGGGTCTTTGTGCAAAAAAAAGTGCAAGGTCCTTGTAATTTACCTAAAAGCAGAATCGGATTAAATCCGAATCCGACCTGAATCTGTTAGGATCCGAATTCGAATCCGAGATCTTCAAAACCGATCGGATTTGGATCAAAGTCGGACGTAATCCTTTCAATAATCGGATCGATTCGGATTTTGCCGAAGCCAATCCCGGTACAGCCCTAGCCCCTGATGACTAATGAGTGCTCAGATTTGAGAATCTTTATTGATTTCATAATTCATACCCAACGTGTCCCTCGCACGTGCTAATTCAGTGTGTATGGGTTCACTGGCTCGAGTCGTAACTTTTCCCTCATCCCAAACCCCACTATAACGAGCCGCCCGAAAGGAAATCTGGTCTCTTTCTTCTCGTCGGGAGAACAAACTACAAAGTGGGAGTGGAAAAAGCAAGAAGACGAGAGATGACTAGCGAGGATGGGCGTGAATCGAAAGGGCCGGAGACGAAGCAGACGCATCGGCTGGAGAGGAAGTGGACGTTTTGGTTCGATAACCAGTCGAAGTCCAAGCAGGGTGCCGCTTGGGGAACCTCTCTTCGCAAAGTCTACACCTTCGACACCGTCGAAGAGTTCTGGTGGTATGTACGAGTTCAAACTTAGATTCTTAGATACCTAAAATTTATTTATTTTTTTCTGTGAATTTATTTATTTAGGTTCGAAAAAATAGATTTTTTTTTTTATGATTTCCACTTCCTATAATGCTTCATTTGTATTCTCTTTTAGTTTTATGCTGATATGGGTTTGGTTCCTATGAAATTAGAGATTTGGGTTTTGTTTCTGCTTTTTTTTTTGTAATTTCTTTACTAGTTCAATATTTGTGCTACTTCCCCCTATTTAGTTTCTACAAAAGCAAATTATTCAGTTTCTAATTTTTATGGAATTAGATGCAGTACCTTTGTATTAACTTAGTCCAGACCAAAATTTTAAGCAGAATGTGAATTTTGTACCTAGACATTCATAAATTCTCCTTGCAGCTTGTATGATCAGATATTTCGGCCTAGCAAGTTGCCGGCAAATGCCGATTTGCATCTGTTCAAAACTGGGGTCGAGCCTAAATGGGAAGATCCAGAATGTGCCAATGGAGGCAAGTGGACTGTTACCAGCAGCAGAAAGGCCAACCTTGACACCATGTGGCTTGAAACTGTGAAGTTCTGAGCTTTTATTGCTTTTGATCATTAGTCTGAGGTTTTCTTGTTATTTGCTTTATGTTGTGGTTATTTGCATTTATAATCCATTTAAGCAAATTTGTGGTATAGTTACTTTATTGACGTGTTCTGTTATTAATGGTTTTATTGACTAGTTGATGGCTCTAATTGGAGAGCAATTCGATGAAAGTGATGAGATCTGTGGTGTTGTTGCAAGTGTTCGCCAGAGACAGGATAAACTTGCATTGTGGACTAAGACATCAACCAATGAAGCAGCTCAGGTTAGATTTATGCTCCACTTGACAATTTGATATTTGAATTGTCTTAGTATAAGCACATACATTAATGCCATTTATTAGTTACTCTATCCGTCTGGTTGTTAGACATCTTAAATCTGGTTTTACAGTTCGGAGCTAAGATTGAGCATACTACAGCCTTCTTTTGGAATTTGACTTATGGTTTCATTGTTGGTGTTATGGTTGCATAAGCAAAACAAAACCTAATTTCCAGCTCCCCCTGACTAGGTGCATATATTTGATCATCCAAGGAATTTTTTATAGTGTGTCATTAGGATAAATATGCATTGCCCTCCTAAGCTCAAGAATCCCACAGGGAAAAAATAAATAACTAAATGAAGTGCTCTTTGTATATAATATTTGTGCTTGTCAACTGTGACTGGATAATTGGTTTTTATAAGATTTTTGATGTAAAATAGATAATAGATATTCTGATGCAAAATGGGACATAAGTAATAATCATTGCTTTGGAATTTACCAGCCACCTTATAAGAGGATAGTTTTAATTGGTTAAAGATGCATTCTCATAACTCTTTTGGTCTTAGTTGGAGTATTATATGGTGCTGAGTCTGAGTTTTAATTTTTTGGTTGGTCTAATTTATGGTCCTAGTTTATTTATGAGTGGGTTTCTAAGTTATTCTTGGAGGTGGCTTTATTTCTCAGTTTGGGTGTAAGTGCAGTTAAGCTTTCTCTGCAAGTATATCTTTGATTACATTTATCATTGAATCTTATTTCAGTCCTAATAGAAGTAGGATAAAGAGTTGACTTTATAAATAGAGGTCTTAGGCAGATCTCAAATAGCATTTTTTGTATCTGGTTTATTAGAGATTTGAGTTATTGGGGTGCTTTCTGAAATTAATAGTGTTTTGAGAGTTTTGATTTGTAAATTTTCTGGTTTCACTTGCTTCATATTTGCTGTTCTTATCACTTCTACAGTGAGGCAAAATATACCTAGGAGGCTAGGACCAGTGTGTATTGTTTGAAAATACTTATTTTAGGTCTGATTTGCTTCTGTGCCTTATTCTTAGATCTTCCTTTATTCTGTCTTGATTATATTGTATTGTTCTTTTGCTTCTACATTAACATGTTATACTTGAGTTTCTATCTCGTTTACAGAGATGCATTAAATGGCATGTGAGGCATATTGGTTGCCAGTTGCCTAGGGTAGAATACACACATCTCATGGTGCTGGCTTAGAGCCTCTTCTTACTTGAGATATGCCCTATTAGCCCGTGCAGCTCACTGGTGGTTTTCTGACATGTCTCAGACCTTAAATCTTTTCCTTTTTCATGTTTTTTTCTTTCCTTGAATCTCATTTCCCCCTTGTTACTTTGTTTGGGGTAACATTCCACTTGATAGGTTTTGACACAATTTATGGGCATCAACTACTTTGTTTAAGCCAAAAGAAAAAAAAAAAAAGAAAAAACATTTCACTTACCAGGTTTGACAATTTTTTGTTTTCAGAATCATCATTTAGGGCTCTATTTACCTTTTTAGCATGAATTATGTATTTCGTTTATATATATTGAAGCATTTGTTTTTTTTTTCTTCTCTTGATGTACATACATAAGAGATTGACATAAATTGTGCTGAGTATGAGTAGAAATACTTTACATGACATTCAGAAAAGCAGCCATTACAAAATTGGCTGGGTAGAGATCTACAAAAGCATAGAGCTTCCATGGTGCACCTTCTCTCTACCCATCCAATTTACGATAGGACATCATCTATATCATTTTTGAGCTGCAGTGCTTGCAGAGTCTTACACAGGACCTGGCTCGATTGCAAGCTGAAAATGAGCAACTACATGTGATTGGGGCAGATATTGATGGTTTGCATCAAGAGCTAGTGAGTGCCTGAATGGCTTTTGAACGTGAGAAGAAAACAAATAAGCAAGTAGAGCAGAAACAAGCAATGGAGAAGAACAATGTTTCCATGGCTTGTGAAATTGAGAAACTCTGAGCAGAACACCTGAGTGTGGAGAGGTGAGCAAGGTGTCTTGGTGGTGCAAAGCTATGAAGCATTGAGAGTAAGCTCTGACCTGGGATACCCAGGTGGTTCTTTTGGTGATACCTACAGTGGAGCATGGGGGGCTTATGATGCATGTGGTCCTACCTGATGCTGAACTCTGTGGTGTTGGGGCTTTTAGACATGGTGGTTGGATTCATGTTGAGGAATTGGTTTTAGTTTTAGCTTCTTGGTGGGTGAGAACAGCAATCTTTCCTAGTGAAGTTTGACACTTGTCTGTCAGATTTTTTCCCCTTCATTTTGTGGCCTACATTTCTTTTTCTGCCACACTTCTTTTGATTTCCCTGGGGCAATATGATTACAACAAAAAAAAAAAAGTGCATATCTATTACTTATAGGTGTCAAAGAGTTCTAGAACTAGTGGTTATAAATTGTAATGCAGTTCTTGTGTTTCTGTTATATTTTTATTATGATTTTAAAAGTGAACAATTTCTTTTAAATCCATGGACCTCAAGTTTTATGAGGTAACACATAATTGTATTAACTCCACAAAAAATTGTCGTTGTACAAATATATCCCTTGCATAACTAGATGCTGTACTTTGGGACAAAAAGTTACAAACAATCAGAAAGACTATATATCACCTATCTAAGCTGCATTATATAAAAAATGGAAAAATGAAAACAAAATAAAGTGATGTTGGAAAGGAGGGGTCCTTGAGTTCTTTGCTGATTGCCAGCCATGAATGAATTTTGTCAATGCTTTTATTAAAATATCTTCCTATTGTCAAGGGTCTATCTTGATATATTCTTGAATTTCTTTCCAGTCATGAATGGATTGTCTCAATTGTGATAGTTCTCTACCTGTAGCTTTTCTTGTTGGCCTTGTTTGTTTCCCTATGTACATCATCTCATGTACTTTTCTCCATTAATGAACACACACACACACACACACACACACACACACACACACACAAAACAAAATGCTATGGATATGGAGCCCTAGTTCAACTGCTATTTCAATTATCTCCGGGTTTTTATTTGAGTCTCTTACATTACACGTATCATATCGAGCAGATGAGCATTGGAAGGAAGTGGAAGGAAATAATTGATGTTACTGATAAAATCACATACAGCTTCCATGTGAGTGCCATTTATGATAAATTCAACAATTTCTTCCTGCTCAGATTCCCTCTCTCCTCTCTCTCTCAACCACCCCTTTGGCTGTTGCAGGATGATTCCAGGAGGGACAAATCAATCAGAGGCCGATACAATGTGTGAAAACTCTTGGGCTACATGAAAATTATACCCCAACAGGCCAGCCTCGCTTTTGTGAAACTGCAATGAGAAACTTGATAGCATTTTTATTTTGTCTATTTCTTCAAGTGGAAACATCAAGTGCTTGAAATGTAAAACTTGGATGCACTTAATTAGTGTAATGGATTGATATTTATTCGACTTAATATTTGCCAAGTTTTTTATTAAGTGCTGTTATTTGTCAATCTGCTTTTATTTCACCTTGTGTATAATTCAGACCCACAGTGTTGCATTCTTGATTGGTCTTCTCCCAAATTCTGCATATTCTTAGGCATGTGATGAGACTATTGAAGAATGTAATTCTTATCAAGCAGCACAGATCTAGTTGGAGCTATCACCTGGAGTGCTGGATGGATGCTTTGATATGCATTGGGAGTTTCATTCAATGGAGATGTTATTTGCCTGGAGACTTGCAATTATTTTTGAGACTTGGTACTTACATGATATGAATCATATAATAATTGATATGATAACAAATTGGTCAGGCATGTTCTGGCAGATGATGGTTGGAGGGCTTCAAGCCTTCAACACAGGAAATCGTTTCTAGGACATGAAAAATTAGTTTGTGATGGTTTTACTTCCAAGGCTTACATCTGAAGGGAATGAACACCAAGGCAATCACATGCCTGTAGACAATGCAGCATTACTATATCTAGGGTAATTGAAGCTGAAGACGAGTCAGATTATAACGGAGCTCTTGCAAAAAGGTTATGGCATAAAAGGCATTTAGCTTGAAGTGGCTTGAAAGCTTTGCATGAAAACATTCTTTGAATGGTAGTGCTACCAGTGAGACTGTTGATTTTATAGACAGCTGCTTAACAGATGAGGCATGGGAATGCGTTCCGCACCTTTAGGCCAAGCTGTTTATTTGTTGCAAGCCTGGGCATCAGCTTTAGTGGATCCAATCGTGGGAAGCCTGGATCCCTCCTACCTTTTTATAGCCCTATTTTCTCTCTAAATCTCAATACATCCCAGCCAGGAAAGAGGGATAAAATGACAAAAAATTTGGGGAGATATCTCAAAAGCTACATTTCTGTCTCTCATTGTGATACTGATTCAAGGACTGAACGTGGGCAGAGAGTTTTTGTGGTTCTGGAAACCTTGCACAATTCCAATTTGATGTCAGAAATTACCCGTCAATGGAAAAATTCACATATTGAATGCTTCCGATTGTTTGCTTTGATGCATGTGATACTTGAGAGTTGAGACTGAAGGCCCTGATCTCAGTCTCAAACTCAAAAGATTATATATTTTCCTACAGAAAATCTTTTCACACAGACCGATAGAGAAGTCTTTCTTTCAGAAACAAAAAGAATATAGCCAACTACATAAGATGATCTTTCTTATAATTTTCTATATTTTGACGGAGAACAGAAGACTTGGGGAGGGGGGTTGACTCAGAAGGGAAATGAAAGTTCACATGAAGCAGAAGGGAAACCCAGACGAGAAATGTATATGCATCTGGTGTTCCTTACACAATACATAGCATTACAGTTTCCACTTTCCCCCATGAATAAATAAATAAAAAAAAGTAGATTTTTCTCAAGCAAGGAAACCAAGCCGTTCTCCATTCTTCTTTGCCAATCTAATCAACCCTTGTCTTTGTTTCGCATCTGCTCCTATTGATTTACAGAATTCTGTAATGACCTGAACATAATTTTTTTTCAAGTCCAAATAAGATTTGAAGATTTGATTCTTTTAAATAGAATTAGTCCAGAAATTTTGAGTCTGCAGAATACCTCAAACAGAACAACTGATACTGATGATATATGAAGAAAGAACAGCTTAAGAAATGGTACCTGTGAGTGTAAGGCAATGGCTTTGCCTCTAAGCTGGTTGAAGCGCTTCTTTCCTATGATATTCCGGGTGAGAACGACGATGGGTGCGAAGAGACCCTTCCCTTCATTGACGTTCTTCATCATGGGCTGCAACCTCACAGGCTTTGCAACTCGAACCACTGCTGGAACTGATTTGCTGGCCAGAGTGCTGTAATCTTCACCCACCAAGGAAGTACCCCAGCTTCCATGAAAGGAAGAACAGAGTTCTCCTTTGAACCCAATTGCCGAAATTGCTGTAGTCATGTTGAACAACTCACAGAATGACTAGTTCTTCAGCTACGCCGAGACCCAAGGGGATTGTTTCCTGATCAGTTGGTTTATTGTAACAGAATTGCTGCCTCTGTTCAGGTTGCTTTAGAATCTAGAGTTGTTCTGGTGTAACTCTGAGGGCCTTTAATTTTCTTTGGCTGGAGTTATAAAGAGAGGCTGGAGAAGCAAAGGGAGCCACACATTTAGGAGGATTGGATTTGAGTTGGTCTCTAGAATCTAGCATTACGTGGGGGCCAATTCTTGTCTTCTAGATGCATTTAACATATGACTAGAAAACAACAGTCTCTTCTCTGTGAACCTCTCTCTTAGTCAGGATCTTAATCAGGCTTCTCAAGCTGGACACGTGGCACAGCATGTCATGGTGTGGGCCAACCATTCAAAGAATCAAGAAGAGAATTATTCTGATCGGATGGTCATCGGTGAGTGCTAGCTTTTGTTTGACCAGAGAAAGATGCCACATGGGCGGTAAGGAATCCCCGCGTTTCATTTGACCAGCAGTGACAGTTCCGAGATGGAACTGTTAACTGTTGTCCACCACAAATTGGGGAATTAGGAAATAGCTTCCGTGGATTGAATTGGACCATTGGAAATTGGAACTTGGAAGGTTCCTGATGGAATGCAGGAGTGTGAAATGGAGAGAGTCGGATTCAGAATCTGATGATGTAGCTTTCTGTTAGCACTGGATTGATTACAACTTCAGCATTCGAGAATTTCAATAGACCCCTTTGTGTTTGATGGATTTAAGGCTCGAAATTGATTACGAGGCCGTTTGGTATGGAGGTGTTGCATTGCCATTTGGGTTTTGGGTTGGTCTATACAAATTTGTGAGGAATATGTATTGTTATTTCATATATGAGTGTGATTTCAATTCTAATTTCTAAAAGATGCATCTCTGCAACAAGCAAGGTTCAAAGTATCAACACGTATTGGCTGATACGGGCCGATACGTATCGTTCCGGGACTCCACTGATACGCCCCTATAGTGGGTGTATCGGGGGTCTGACTGGTTCAGGGGATGGAGGAGACCTAAACCGGCCCCCTGAATTGGTTTCAGAAAAAAAAAAAAGTTTCGATTCGACCGATATGCCCATACCGATGTATCGGGCGTATCAATATTTTGAACCTTGGTAACAAGGTAAAATCTATGGTACCAAACAAAAGAGTTTTGACCAATCAAAGCACCTCATGAATTTTGATGAATACCACCTGATTGATCATCTCTTTTATGGTATCATACTGGTTTATTGGCTGGAAGTTTTTCTGGTATTATGTCTTTCTGGTATCATAGTCGAACCCGTGTGAGAAACATCAAATTTAAYGTTTGGATTAGAAATAATATTTGTATTGAATTATACCCAAAATGCAACCCCAACACAACACCACTGTACACCTAAAATTTTTGGATTTTTGTTCTTTTCATGAAACAGAATTTCAGAAGCTTTGTTTCCAAAACTGAAATTTAAAATCTCTGAAATAGAAAAAAAAATCATTTGATTAAAATGAATTAAAGATAAAATTCATTTTAAAATGAAATTAATTAATTAATTAATTCAAATTTAATATATTCATTTTACTTATTACTGATTTTCTATATTCTATATGACATGATAATGGGTTATATTTTTTCTGTGTTCAATTCAATAGAGAAATAAATAATTTTGTGTTATTTTATTAGGGAAGAAAATAAATCAAAACTACCAAAATATATATAATTTTTCCTATTTTAAGTCGATATGACAAACTGCTAACCAAGAGAACTTCTACAATCAAATTCTGAAATTCTCAATTTCAAAGGAAGTAAATTTAAATTTTTGAGGTTTTACCTAAATTAATTTCTTAGAATCTTCAAAATTTGCTCAAAAAGTGATTGGACTTTTGGTATGTAACTTGAGTAAATACTTTGTGACAATGTTAGGTTTACCTGGTTATCCAAAATTACAATAAATTTTAGTTAAGAATATTTCTCTTCTGAGAGACTACTGAGACATTATGATTTTCATTTACGTTTTGAAACTGAAATTTCATGGATCTTACTAGTTATATCTGGGCTGTCAATGGACCGGACGTTGCTCTAATATGATCCAAATTCAATCCAATTAGGTATGTTCTTATTGGATCAGATTTGGATCGAAATTTTAATTCATTTAGTTATTGGATCTCTCTCTCTTTCTCTTCGTGGGCCAACCAGGTTTCACATTGTCACCGATTTAGCATTCATGGCACGATCAATCAAATGGGCTAATCTGTTTTGATTTGAATCTCATTTCAATTTAGGCCATTATCCAATGTTGGTTTTGGCTATCTTAGGTCTTGGAAATAGATTTGATATGGTCAGGGGGTGGTCATGAGTCGAGCCTTTTATAAGTTATTCGAGTTCGGTTTGGTTTAGTTTAAACTGAGTTTCGAGTCGAATCAAGCCTGATATATAAGCTTGTTTGCTAATCGACCCGAGCTTGAGCCTAGTGAAGCTTAGTTCGTGAGGCTCATGAGCCTAGCATTAAATAAATAATTTTTGTTATATATACATATGTACATATATATAATAAATAATTTTATTATATATAATAATAATTTTATTAATATAATATTTTTAATTTTTATGTATAATAGTAAATAATTTTTATAATTCTTAATTTTTTGTCTGAAAAATAAAAAAATAGTTATATATATAATTTTTATTTTTCAAAAAAAAATACTTGGCTTATAGTAGAGCTCAAGCTCAAGTCTCTAGCTTGAATCAAGCTCGAACTCGAATTCGGGCTTGATACTATTCCTGCGAACCAAGCTCGAATAATTAAGTATTTGGTTCGGCTCGACTCGAATCCACCCCTAAATATGGTCCTAACCTTTGAATTTCTTTTTCATTTTTTCTTTACAAAGTGATCGCTTTTAAACTCGAACATTCATTCTCACACTTGTTAGCTCAAGGTTTTAATATTGCATTACTGAGTAACCTCAGCAAGTAAATTTGTATGTAGACTTGACTAAAGGGAAGATCATGTAATACCTGGGCTGGTTATATATAGCTTTCAATAAGCTATTGGAAGAGGCTTGTCTGGACCAAAATTTGTAACAGCTCAAGCTAATGGGTGTGCAGCTAGTTTTTAGAGACTCAGAGGGAGGATCAACAAAGCAATGGCAAGGGGCCGGAGTGGGTTTTTCATCAGCTTTTGTTGCAGAGTTTCAGGAAGATCCAAATTGAAGGAGACTTTCGAGTTATAATTGAATGTCTTTTGAAGAGAAATCCTCCCCCTTATTGAAAATTTGACAAAATTTCAACCCTAACTCGAAAAAATTGCACCCCTAGATATAAGTATGTGCATGTATGTAGGGAATGAGTGTCTCACACCATCTTTACCGTGCATTGGGAACATTTTCCCATGAATGATAATATCATATATAATGGGAAATGTTCTCAATGCACACCTGCGCTGTGAGGCACGTTCTGTGAAGAACAGATCCAATTTCATAGAAAAGCCAGCTAAGCAGCCGATTGGCTAGCAACTATAAGTATCTGTTTGGGAGCTCTGAAGTGCAATACCTTCGTGGACAGCTTATAAGTTATGTTTGGTGAAAAATCCCGAGAGTCCAAATTATTTATTTGTCAGTTATGAGCATGGTTTTTAAAACCGATTCGGTGACCGAACCGGTCATGGGTCCGGTTACCGGGTTGAATATCTGACCGTTTGACCTGAATGGTCAGTTCATTCGGACAAAAAAAATAAATAAATAAATAAAAAGCAGTCAAAACCGTTAGAATGATTAACCGGCCGATTCAGTGGTTTACTGACCAAAATCAACGGTTTTGGAAAAAACGGAACTGGTCAGGTGACTAGTTCCCAATTTTTCCAGTTCGATCCAGTTTTGAAAACTATGATTATGAGTTATGAAACCAACCATTACGTCCCAAGTGCAAATAAACCACTATCACATATTTAGATTGTGTAGAGACAAAATCATACACAATACTGGTTCACTTGTGATGGATTATTATCATAGCTGAATCCTCTGCTCAGCCCTTCCGGACCAAAATTTTCACATTTTTACAGAACATTATTACATGGGCTTATAGCTTTTCTGATGGGCCCTTGTCAAGCCAAAATCCATGAAAGACTTTCCAAACGGGTATTAATTGTAGTGTGGTCATGGTAGCTGAAAGCAAAGCATCAACAATGAAAAAAAAAAAAAGCCATTCTGGGTTAGGAGGAGGTAGTTCGCGAGGCTCATCAATTAAAATTGACAGGGATAAAGTCGAACGGTCCGGATTGCATGACAAAAAACCGTCCCTGATCATATACGGTTAATTGGTTGGATTCATTTTATGGCAAAACCCAAATCTGCAAAATCAGGAATAAGTTACCCAATTTGTGACAAATGCAAAACCGAGTGAACCAACATAATTAAAACCATTTTAGAGAAAATGTCATGTCTCACCCGAGGGTTTGGTGACTGAATAACATGTGATGCGATTGGCTACTCAGCCATATTCACACACTTATTTTCGCACCAGATTTTTGTTTCCATTTTTAGCCCGGCCTAGAAATTTCTTGGTTTTGGCTCAAAGCCTGGGCCATGATCACTCTTAGCTGATTTTATGATTTTATATTTCAGATATAGAAACGTGTTTTGCAGACCGTAACCATGACATTCTTTCCTTTTATCTTATGAGGCTTTACAGTTGGGTCCAAGTTTGTTTGAGTTAGTTCAGGCTGAAGTTAACCCTAGTCCCACCTGTGGCTAAGGTGTTGACCCCCAGCCCCAACCCAACCTTTGAACGTCACACTATGAATCCAAACTTAACCCAATACATTTAAAGGGTTTTGTGAGAATTAGAAGTTTGGAATTGGAATCAGAATGGTTCATCTCTAATGTTTGGTTGGATGGAATCGAAATTTCATTTTCATTTTTATCCTTAATGGAATGGCCATTCCCCTCCCCCTTTCTTGGGAATGAGATCCATTGTAACTAATTTTGCTTCTAATTCCGATTCCAGACTAAACCAAACAGGTGAAAGGAATAACCATTTTGATTTCGGTTCCAATTCCAACCGTAAACCAAATTGACCCTAAAGTTCTTTTGATCTTCGTCTAATCACCACTCAAAAGTTGTATATTTCTAATAGGGTTGGCATGGGCTTGATCTGATTGCCTCAGCTTCTTGACTTCTTTTGACTTTTAAAAGGTGTCATCTCTTATCAAGTATAGGTTAGCATTGGCTTTGCCAATACTATGCTTATGGTCCGGAGGAAAAGGTTAAGGTATTAAGGGATACTATACTATAATGAAAAGGGTGGGCAGTTCACATTGTGCCAGTAGACCCTGTTCACAATGTTCTGTGTAATGAATTATATAACCAATCATGAATGGTTACACTACCCACACCTATGACGTATCCATGGCACACTCTCATACTTGTATGTTCTAATTTATGGGGAGATATTTCTGATGTGCAGCTATGGTGTCCTGTGGATAAGGGATCCCAACTACATGATGAGCAGTAGATTTAGAGGTGTAAATCGAGCCGTATTGCCTATGGCTTAGCATGAATTTGGACCGGTCCGACATAATGGTCCATAGGCTGTGCCAGGCTCGGTATGATCGTGTGGGTTATACTGGGTTTAGGGTTTTAGGTCCATGGGCCAGGCAGACACGACATGATCAAGTGGCCCAGCCCGCGGCCCACGACACTGCACGGGCCCACATGGGCTTGGGCCATGGACCGTGCGGGGCCAACCCCCCAAGTTATCCTAAGGGATGGTCTGCGGGCCGGCATGGCCATTTTACACCTCTAAGTAGATCTGGGCTCCCACTATGCACCAAGTTGCATGGGATATATTCACAACAAAAATTGTGCCAACATATATGGTCCTAACATAATGATATGTGTTGGAACCCATCATAAGATTAGGATCCACCGTGGATGTGGGGACACAAATCACGTTAGAACAATTTTGTTGTGAGCGGATCAGGTCTCATATGCATCAATTAATTAAGTTACTAATCCCATATTATCCTAGTAGCTACATCTATTATTAGTAGTCTAGTATACAACAACTTGCCCGTGTGATCAAGGTTTTAAAAAGCTAAAGGCTTTGTTGAGGTGTAATGACCCAAAAAGCTGAGGCTTAAGCTTCAAGGCATAAGCTTCAAAGTTTAAGAAAAAAAATTAAATTTGTAAATTTATGAAAATAATTTATAATATATTAAATTAACATGATAGAAGATATACATATCTATAAAATAGAAGTTTATAAGCAATGAGTTTTGGCATTTAAGCATTAAATAAAATAATAACTAATCAACTAACAATTAAAAAACATTTTATATTTCATGTAAAAAAATAATTTAGAAGAAAGGAAATAACTTTGTTGATTTGATCTATGTAAATAATGATGATGATGATGGTGATAATAATAATAATAATAACAATAATAATAATAATAATAATAATAATAATAATAATAATAATAATAATAATAATAATAATAATAATAATAATAATAATAANCAATAATAATAATAATAATAATAATAATAATAATAATAATAATAATAATAATAATAATAATAATAATAATAATAATAATAATAATAATAATAATCTCATTTGATTTATTCAAAAGAAACTAAGAACTTGATTAATCCTTTTTGTATTGAACTATCTTAAAACACTAAGAAAAACTAATAGAGAGATTGATTTGCCTTATTAATTTTTCACTTTACTTTTTTATTTGGTCCATAATTATTGAAGTATTTATTTATATGTTTTAAATTATAAAAATATATATTTTTACATTAAATCACTAATTAATCATTGATATTTGAGGCCTGCGCCTTTGTATGCCTCACGCCTTGAGGCTTGAGGCTTACACCTCATTTTGATAAAGGCTTAAGCCTCACATAGGCAAAATCTGTGCACCTCTCCTAAGGCATACACCTCATATCTCAAGGTTTAAGCCTTTTAAAACAGTGCCTGTGGTAAGGTTGATCCTTTCTGCTTGGGCTCACATTGCCGGGCCGGTCCGGCCTGGCCTGAGAATTTAATATAAATTATATAATAATTATTAATATATATATATATGTATATCATACAAATAATATTTATGCTATATATAAACATATCCTAAAATATGTATAATATAGTTATGGAAATATTATCTATAATCTTAATAAAAATTGAGGGTTTCCTTCAAACAAAAAACATTATTTACAGGATAAATTGGAGTTGAAGAAACAAACACCATTTGGTGGATGTTCAATCTCTCTCTAGCAACCATATTTGGTATAAATAAAACCCAGAAGCTCTTGGGCTGAGTTTGTCGTTTGTGGGCCTTTGGCTTTGGGGGTCAGGATGCGTGGAATTGAAATGCAGAACAGAAGAGCGTTAGCTCCAACTCTCCAAGCACCCAACCCCTGGCTTAGAGTCGAAGCTAGGTGTTAGTCCATCCTATTAACGTCTCCTCGACTCAACTTGGGACGTCTCAACTCACGGTTGGTAAAGAAAGAAACAAGATTTCTTACATTTCACCACCCATAAAAAAGATCTCTTCCGTCTCTCTCTTCCGCTCAGGAGACAGGACTCTCGCCTTCACATTCTCTTCAGCCTCTGCTTCACGTTTGCACACCATGACCGGCCTAATCGCCGGTTCTCACCAGAGGAATGAGCTCCATGTAATGCATGGTGTTGAAGAGGTACGCGTTGTATTTAATTCGATCTTTCACTGATAATCTTTTCAGTCTCTGTGATCTGTATTTGGATATCTTCATCTCATTTGCATTGTCGTGTTCATGCATAATCCGGCAGCCTCGGCCGGCCATACGCCAGTCAGTCTCGAAAATCTGCCGAGTTTGTGGCGACGAGATCGGATTAAAAGAGAATGGGGAGTTGTTCGTGGCCTGCCACGAGTGTGGATTCCCGGTGTGCAGGCCTTGCTATGAGTACGAGAGGAGTGAAGGGAGCCAGTGCTGTCCTCAGTGCAACACTCGTTATAAACGTCATAAAGGTTCTTCCTCTTCTTCTTCTTCTTCTTCTTCTTCTTCTTCTTCTTCTTCTTCTTTCTCTAAATTAATTAACTCTTGTTGTTGTAGGTTGTCCTAGAGTTGTGGGAGACGATGAAAGCAATGGCGATGCTGATGACTTCGAAGATGAATTTCAGATTAAGAATAACCGAGACACCCCAGATCGTCATCATGTCGTTAATCCCTCGGTAAATAAAACCCACTTATTGTAAAATCTGAAAACTGAAACCGGTTTATTAAAAACTAATCTCTAACCTTACTATTGGTAATAAGCTTGTCGATCGAGTTTTCTAGTATAATCAAGCTAAAAGAACAACGGAAATTGAGTCGTAATTAGCTAGAGATCTCCGTTTGCAGGAAAATGGGGACTACAATCCACAACAATGGCAACCCAATGGGCAGGGTTTCTCTTCCATTGCTGGAAGTGGTAAGTAAATTCAAAATTTGATATAGTAAGTTCTTCAGCCAGTAGAATTAATTGCAGGATTTCTATTGTTGTTTTGTAGTTGTTGGAAAGGATTTTGAAGGAGAGAAGGATTTCAATAATGCGGAATGGAAAGAGAGGGTAGACAAGTGGAAAGCCAAGCAAGAAAAGAGAGGTTTGGTGAGCAAAGATGATGGAGGAAATGACAAGGACGATGAAGACGACATTCTGTAAGAATTTCTTCATTGTTCTTCATTGTTTATGCGGGTTTCTGCATGTATATCTTAATCATATGGGTAGGGCTGCAAATGGATCCGATTTAATCTGATAATCTGATTCAAATTTATCAAATTTGATTCATTTATATCGCCTTTGAATATGATAACCAGAAAGTATTGAAAATTCGATCCATTTATAAATCAAATCAGATTCAGATATTACTTGATTTGAACTCGAATTCTCGATTCACTAGGGTGCAACTTGGTCACGTTGGACCCTGTTTAATGCCAACGTAGGCCCGAAACTGAAACTTGGGCCTAATGCCAGAAACTTATCTAAACTATTGTATCTGTGTAGTCCTGTTGGGCTCAGGTTGGGCCTTGGCCCAGTCTGATAACAAAAAAATCAAGCCCAGACCATATGAAATTTTGGGTTGGGTCAGTTCAGACTCGGTTTGGCCTCACCCAAGTTGCACTCCTATATACATTTATATTCTTGACCATATAAAATTTAATTTTAAGTTATATATATATATATATATATATATATATATATTTAAGAGGGATAGGGATATGGACAAATCTATTTTTGCCTTGCAAATTGAATTGAATTGGATATTCCTTGTGTCCACCAGGATGGCTGAAGCCCGGCAACCATTGTGGAGGAAAGTCCCAATTCCGTCCAGCAAAATCAGCCCCTACCGCATAGTGATTGTCCTGAGGCTCATTGTACTCTGCTTCTTCTTGCGGTTTCGTATCTTGACCCCAGCAAATGATGCTTACCCACTGTGGCTCATCTCTGTAATCTGTGAGATATGGTTCGCCTTATCATGGATACTAGATCAGTTCCCCAAGTGGTTCCCCATTACCCGTGAAACGTACCTAGACCGCCTTTCCTTGCGGTTCGAGCGAGAAGGCGAGCCCAATCGTCTTGCTCCCGTTGATGTCTTTGTGAGTACTGTTGATCCACTTAAGGAACCACCCATCATAACAGCTAACACAGTCCTATCCATCCTCTCTGTGGACTATCCGGTGGAGAAGGTGAGTTGCTATGTGTCTGATGATGGTGCTTCAATGCTTCTCTTCGACACATTATCAGAAACTGCGGAATTTGCGAGGAGATGGGTACCATTCTGCAAGAAATACAACATTGAACCACGGGCTCCTGAGTTCTACTTCTCTCAAAAGATTGACTACTTGAAGGATAAGGTCCAGCCAACCTTTGTGAAGGAACGTAGAGCTATGAAAGTAAGCAAGCAATCTGTAACGATTACTAGATGATTTGGTAGAAGGCTAGCCCAGTCTAGGTTGGGCAGGGCCCAGGCCCAGGCCCTTATCAATCACCTCTAGGCTCTAGCGGTGGACCAATGAATCCATACTTGAACAGGTCAAGCCCGCCCAACCCAAGGCTTGGTTGATTGGTCATTAGTTTTTGGGCTAATTGACTTCTGGCTGCAAAAGTCAAAGCCCCAACTAGGTTCAAATCTGGCTGATTGGGACTACTTGTTATGAGAAGATCATTCACAATCTGGCTACGTATTGTCTCAATTGTCTAGCTCTCTAGGAGGAGCTAGGCTCAAGCTTTTTATTTATTTTTGTTAGGTTGGGTTGTCATAAGTGGTTGTTTGTTGTGGTGTTGAATTTTCAGAGGGAATATGAGGAGTTCAAGGTGAGGATTAATGCACTAGTGGCAAAGGCACAGAAGAAACCAGAAGAAGGTTGGGTCATGCAGGATGGAACACCGTGGCCTGGCAACAATACAAGAGATCATCCTGGCATGATTCAGGTTTCATTTGAAAGAGTTTTCTTTGATTTTAATCTTTCTATGTCACTTGAGAATTTAAACCATTGGAATTGATGCAATTGCATTGCTAATTAATAACTTTGTAGGTTTATTTGGGAAGTCAAGGTGCACTAGATGTGGAAGGCAAGGAGCTGCCTCGACTGGTGTATGTCTCACGAGAGAAACGCCCTGGATATCAACACCACAAGAAAGCTGGTGCCATGAATGCTTTGGTGAGTGGGTTGTCTGAGTTCATTGTGTGAATTATTAACAGAAGGTCCTTGGGTACTGATACAGAAGTTTGTTGTGTTATGGCATTGTTTTATACAAATACTAGGTGCGAGTCTCTGCAGTGCTAACAAATGCACCCTTTATGTTGAACCTGGATTGTGACCACTACATCAACAACAGCAAGGCTGTAAGGGAAGCCATGTGCTTTCTGATGGATCCTCAGCTTGGAAAGAAGCTATGTTATGTCCAGTTTCCACAGAGGTTCGACGGTATTGATCGCCACGATAGATACGCTAATCGCAATATAGTGTTCTTTGATGTAAGTTGGCCTACTACCTTTTTTTTCTTGGCCACTAGAAACTCTATCGATCTATCCAACAAAGAAATAAAAATTTGAGTTGAAAACAAATCCATGCAACTTGAGACAAATACTAGCTTATTAATCAATGGATTTGTAGTCCTTGGAAGTGATCAAGCTCTCATAAGAAAATAATGCACCAAGTGCTTGTTTTTTGTTGTAGATCAACATGAAAGGCTTGGATGGGATCCAAGGACCAGTCTATGTTGGAACTGGTTGTGTCTTCAACAGGCAAGCATTGTATGGCTATGACCCACCAGTGTCTGAAAAGAGACCAAAGATGACTTGTGATTGCTGGCCTTCTTGGTGTTGCTGTTGTTGTGGTGGATCAAGGAAAAAGTTGAAGTCAAAGAAGGGAGAAAGAAGTTTGTTTGGAGGGTTTTACAGCAAGAAGAAGAAAACGATGGCAAAGAACTATTCCAAGAAAGGCTCTGCCCCTATCTTTGATCTTGAAGAGATTGAAGAAGGGCTTGAAGGATACGATGAGCTAGAGAAATCATCTCTCATGTCTCAGAAAAACTTTGAGAAGAGGTTTGGACAGTCACCTGTCTTCATTGCTTCAACACTTATGGAAGAAGGTGGTCTTCCTGAGGGTACCAACAACACAACCCTCATTAAGGAGGCTATTCATGTTATTAGCTGTGGCTATGAAGAGAAAACTGAATGGGGAAAAGAGGTGTGTACTGTTTATCTTTAGGACTCCAAATGTTGTGGATCATTTAGTTCTTAAGACCAACATATGATCAGAATCCAATCTAGTGGATTGATCAATCATATGTCAATTTCTATAAAACTAGCTTTGGTAGAGTTTGTAATTCCTACTAAGAGGTTAGCTTGTGATTTTTCTTCTTCACAGATTGGATGGATTTATGGCTCAGTCACAGAAGACATATTGACAGGATTCAAGATGCACTGCAGAGGATGGAAGTCAGTGTATTGTGTTCCTAAACTAGCTGCATTTAAAGGTTCAGCTCCTATAAATCTTTCAGATCGTCTGCACCAAGTTCTCAGGTGGGCTCTTGGATCAGTTGAGATATTCCTTAGTCGGCATTGCCCTCTATGGTATGGCTATGGAGGAAAACTAAAATGGTTAGAGAGGCTGGCCTATACTAACACCATTGTTTACCCTTTAACTTCCATTCCTTTGCTTGCCTACTGCACCATTCCTGCTGTCTGTCTTCTCACTGGAAAGTTCATCATTCCCACTGTAAGTAATGTTAGAACATATTTCCTGTCTACTAAAACTAGTTATCTCTTTTGGAGAAATTCTATTATATATATAGGGGTTTAAATCATCATTACCATTCTAACCAGATTCCATGATTTACAGCTGAATAATCTTGCTAGCATATGGTTCATTGCCCTCTTCTTGTCCATCATAGCCACTGGTGTGCTTGAGCTCCGATGGAGCGGTGTTAGCATTCAGGATTGGTGGCGCAATGAACAATTCTGGGTGATAGGAGGTGTCTCAGCTCATCTTTTTGCCGTCTTCCAAGGCCTTCTTAAAGTTCTTGCAGGAGTTGACACCAACTTCACTGTAACTTCAAAGGCTGCAGATGATGCAGAGTTTGGTGAACTGTACCTCTTCAAATGGACTACACTTCTCATTCCTCCTACAACACTGATTATCTTGAACATGGTTGGAGTTGTTGCTGGAGTATCGGATGCCATTAACAATGGTTATGGCTCATGGGGCCCCCTATTTGGGAAGCTATTTTTTGCCTTTTGGGTCATTGTTCATCTCTATCCCTTCCTCAAAGGACTAATGGGAAGGCAGAACAGAACACCTACCATTGTAGTGCTCTGGTCAATTCTTCTTGCATCAATCTTCTCCTTGGTTTGGGTGCGGATTGATCCTTTCTTGCCTAAGCAGACAGGCCCAATTCTTAGGCAATGTGGAGTGGAGTGCTAATAATGTTTGGGACCCATATCTTCCTCTCTTCTTCTATCTATTTCTTCTTGGTCTGGTCAGATATTGTTTCTTTAAATTTTCATGTCCTTGAAAAAGAGTGGCTTTGATTTGTATATAGTCTTTGAACGTACAATGTTATGGTCATAAGATGAAATTTTGTTGTTAATGCTGCCAATGACAAGCGGCCATTTCCCCTAATGTATGGTTTAAAATCTATAAGAGAAACAATTAAATTGGATTTGTTATTGTCTCCCTTAAATCTCTTAGGAGAGAGCTTCCAATCTGCCCAAAGAAGATGCTTATGACTATGATCAATGAATCTGCAGTTCTCTTTGGCATTCTCTAGATATGCCCCCATTCACAATATCCAAGCTAATATTGATGTTGAAGTTTTATTTTCTATGCACCTAGAAAAGGACATAGGAAAATTAATCTCCTTCAATTTATATTGGTATAGAAAAGATGACTAGAAGATCTTAAGATTCCTTAAGAAAAGAAAACTTCTACTTTAATTGAAAAGAAGGCTTAGTCACCCCTTACGAATATTCCTTCAACATTAACTAGTAAAGTCTCAAGTTTCTCTGAGCTTCCAAAGTATAGAGAGTAATTCCTTTTCTTCTTCTCAATAAGACATAATTAGCTCCAATTAAAAGAATAACCCCCTAGTTAATTGTGGGATCAGAATTTCATTCAAGATCTTACCATGAGATAAGAAAACAACTTGATTATTCCTTTTAGTAAACTTGATCAATCTAGCTTACTAAAGATTTTCAGAATTGGGAATAAAGTTTCTAAATTTTATTCTATGATATAAAAATGTACTTTCAACAGATTGTTGTACAATGACTATTTATGAAGAGAAGTTCATATTGGTTGTGTATACATCAAAATATACTAAATTGAAGATTCCATGATGGAGTTGTAGGGATAGTGCATTTTACTATTTTTGGTAAAATACTTAAATCACCTCTGTTTTTTTCTAACAAATTCTTTAACCTTTGCTGTATTTGACCTCTCCAAATTCATCCCTAAGGGTGATCATAGATCGAATTTTGAGCCTAGGTTACTAATTAAGTTTTATATAATAAAACTTATATAATATAATATTTTATATTATATATGATCCAGCTATGGATTTATAAGTATTGTTTTTTTTCATTTATTTATTTTGTATGTTTTGTTTTCTTATAATTTTCTTTCTCACGATGTATCAAATTACTGGTTTGATCTAGCTAATTGTCATTAGTGATTTTCAATCCATAATTTTATGTTTTATTATTGCTGATTTCTTGATTTTATAGGAAGCCTATCATATAATTCATAATACTCTAATTATTTAGAACATGTTTACCAAGAAAACAACCATTTGAAGCATTCCATTTTTTCTTTTCAGATTTATACTAAATAACTAATAAAAACATCAAACAAACAAATACCAATAAAAAATATGGTTAGTATATGGTTGTGAAAGTTGAGTTTAGTTCTTTTATTCCAAGGCTAACAAAAATTAAGATATTAATTTTATGAGATTTTAAGAGGTTAGGCTGGACCCAACTTGAGCCCAACCTAACTCAAAGTTAACGTCGGGTTGGTATGGATTAGGGATTTTAGGTTGGGTTAATATTAGGGTTGTTTAGAGGAGTGGTGCTCATCAAAAACTGAAAAACCAAAAGTCCAGTTAATTGAACTAATCAATTTGGTTTTGGTTCAATAGTTTTCAAAAACTAAAGGTATTAATTTCGTCTCAATTAATCTAAAAAAACTGACAGTTAACTGAATCAACTGGTGTATATATATATATTATTTTTAATATATATTATGTATTATTTATAATATAATATATTGAAATGAACATGGGCAATTTATTTTTGCCTTTGCTTCCTTTTGTGGTTTTACAACCAACATTGTGGCTGAGAAAAGAGTAAACCGTGATGCTATTTTCTATGCGAAGTCTCTGGGCATCTCGAGACTCATTGTTTAATGCGATTCCAAGGTAGTAATACACAAGGTTTTTAAAATCAAACCAGATAATGAATCGTTAGGGGTTTGGTTTCTGGGTCAAACGGTCTGATCATTCAAACTGAATAGACGGCTCCATTCTGACAAAAAAATAAAAAATTATAAAAAATAAAAACGACCAAAATTATTGGACGGTTCAAATGGTTCAACCACTTGAATCAGCGATTTACTGACCAAATCAATGGTTTTTGGCAAAATAACAGTTCTGGGGTAAAATGAAACCGATCACCTGACCGGTTCCCAGTTTTTCCGATCCAACCATCTGGTCCACTCCGGTTTTGATTACCATGGTAATGCAGGTCCTTGCCTTTCAGGCTCCTCCCCACCCCCTTCGACCATCTTTTCCTGGATCGACGACATCACAGAGTTAGCGGTTGACAAGCAAATAGAATTCTCTCAATTCTTCGTGAAGGGAATGCAGGAGCAAATATAGTCTAGCAAATTTAGCTTGTGATGCCTTTGAAAGCCTCTATTTTGATTACAACAATTATTTTCCTTGTCATATTTTTTATGGTGCTTTACATCTTCCTAGACTTCGTTGTAAATAGGCTTTGGGTTTTTTATTTTTCTAAGTGCAGTGAGCACAATGTATTAGGGCTTGGGACAAGGTGGGTTACATCCTCCCCTATAAAATTTTGGGTTAAAAAATATTATTTATAATATTATATATATATTATAATATGTATTATAAACAAGGTTTAAAGTATCAATATGATTCACCTGATACAAGGCATATCGTATCCGTTATTCGTATCCATCCTCATCGGCACAGGATATGCTACGACATTGTGTATATCCTGTTAGTTGTGCATATTAGCACAATATGCCATTGTATTGGTATGTATCGCATTGTATCTATGGATACGGTTCAACACTCACTGATACAAAAGCGTATCGGATCCTAATTTTATGACATATTCAAACCTCGATTTAAGATTTAATTTTCCTCAAAAATTTAATAAGAACTGAAATTTATAAAAATTAATTTATTTTATTTATCTTAAATGATTTATATGTTTTATTTTACTTATAAATTATATGCTAAAATTGAAAACATATTTATTATCTGAAAAATAGAGTCAATAAAAATGCTAAATAAATAAAAGTTCCCAAAAATTTAATAAAATTTTAAATTATAATTATAAAAACTGAACTAAATAATTTAAGAGTTAAGTTTACCCAAAATTTTAATAAAAACTGAAAATTATAATAATAATTTATTTTATTATATCTACCTTAAATGATTTATATCATTTATTTTAAAATTATATGTAAAATAAACAATTGTATGTTAAAAATAAAAATACATTTATTATTTTGAAAAATAAAGATTATTTATATAAATTTACTAAATAAAAATTCTCCCAAAAATTAATAAACATTAAAAAATATAATTATAAAAGCTGAAATAGAATGATAATTATTGTATGATATGTACATATTCCAAAGTCCCGGTATTGTTGATTGTAATGTTTCTCTTCATATAATCTATTGAAGTGTGCATTTCTCATGTATTTATACCTTATTCATAGTGAATTCAGCTTTAGATTTAGTGTTATTAATGTATTTAAGTAATTTGTATGCATTTCCCTAGTATATCTAAGCATTTTCATATCTTTCATCCATATCCATGTGTTTCCAAATTGTATTTGTATCTGAGTTGTCTGATATAATTCTCGATATCGATACTTTAATCCTTGATTATAAATATAAAAAAAAAAATAGAAGAGCCAAACCAACCAACCAGTTATTTGATTTTGGTTAGGGATTTTACAAAAATCGAAGGACTGGTTTGGTTTCAGAAAAAAAAAAAATGGTTCAGTTAACCAAACCATGTGCACCCCTAAGGTTGGGGGCTTAGAATGGGTTGGGTAAGGTTGACCTTAACCTAACCTAACTCAACCCTACATGCACTCCTATTCATAATGCCCATGTTAATATATTGATGTTGAAGTTTGGTACATAGTCATTCTACATTCCTATTATTTTTCATACACCAAGAAAATCACATAGCAATAGTCTCCTTCAATTGCTTAATCCAAACCTGCCCAAGTTGCATCCTTGGAGACTTCAACAAGAAACCTTCAAGGTAACTACAAAATAAGGTGAAGATTGTTGTTTTTTGTGTTTAATTTTGTACATTATAGCCTTGCCAAAAGGAAAGTCATTGTGGTGTTATATATATATATATATATATATATATGGTTTTGTTATAAAAGTTGGAATTTTTTTTGTCTATAATAAAAGGGTATAAATATGGTAATCGCCAAAAGACATAATTTTACATGTGGAGAGAAAAAAAAAGTGTTTTTTCACAGTACTTTTTGCACACTAATAAAATATTTATTATTCGAGTATTTTGAGAGAGAGAGAAGGGGGAATGACATACAAAAATATCTTTTAGAAAAGTACAGACAAGCCCAATGCAAATTTCTGAATTCCACTGCAGAACTATAAACATTCAAAATGTCAAAAACCCCCATTCTATACACCAATGCTAACCCGTGATTTGGCATCAATTCCAGTTTGGCACCCACCCCAACTGTACTTTGTGCCTAAAAATGCTGACCCTGGGCTGAACCATCATTCTCCCAATATCTTATATTAGCATCTCATTCTTTTGCATAGCTAGTGAAGAACATGTCTCTGATATTGGCGAGACTAAACCAATATATATCTTTGTCTTCTCTAATGCTTTCCTATTTTGTGATGTTTTTCTTTATTAAGGTTCTTTTAGATTTGATATTGAAATAAAGGGATCCCAAGCATACCTCCTTCCATCTATATCTATATATTAAAATGCAATGTGCCAAGTTGGCACTTTCATCCTCTATGGTTTATTGTCAAACCTACTTATCTTTTTTTCTGGTTTCTTCTCAAAGGCACTTATCTTTTTTCTTGTTTTTTTTTTGAATTTTTGAATTTTAAAATTGATTAAAATAACACAAGTGACCAATCACTTTTAAGACTTTTAACACTCCTCATTAACATCATTAATTATGCCATTAATCATCTCCTTCAATAACTCATGCCACTAATTCTCTCTCATCTCCATTACTCCATTAAATTGCATAAAATTCATTAACTTTATCTATCTATCTATCTATCTATCTTGCCCTAAACCAATGATATATTCATTGAAATTGAGATATCCAATAATATATTAGGCACCAAATAATCTACTTCCATTTAAAATTATAATCCATTTGATTCCATATGAAAATAATAAAAATTAATTAACCATAATAAAAATAATTTAGTAAGTTACTTAAACAAAATAATAACAATTATTAATTATTTTTATTGATAAAAAGTATTTTTATTAATATAATAAAAAGAAATTAATTAATGAAAGGAATAAGATACTTAAATAAAAAATTAATATAGTTAATTAAATAAAAAAAATATATATTTAATTAAATAAAAAATTATATAGTTAATTAATTTTCATAAGGAATTTAAATTTAATAGAAACTTAATATACTTAAATAAATTCAAATTTTTCTAATTTTAAAAATTAATAACCAGTATTAGTTTTAAACATAGTTTAATTATTTTAAAACCAATTTAAATTCCATTTAAAATAAGAAAATTATAAATCCCTCCTTGGGTTTTCTAACAATCCTATGAAACTCCCAAGTGTTTTGACCCTAACAAAAACCTCCCCTATTGTTTTGAAAAAAGGTGTAAATACCTTTAGTAAGGATTCCAAATTAAAAAATGTTGATGTAATGCATTAATTTTACTTCACTTCAGCCTTTTTACATTTGTCCAAGAAATGTAATTATTCTTTGAAAGTTGTCTAGCAAAATAAATTAGTGGTAGGTAAAGTTGAAACTTTAAGTTATGTATGATAATGCATTAACAATGATAAGGGTATTTTGATAATTTCAATGTTTTTGTTACTGAAGAGTCAAGGGAAAGGAGGTATTTGCACTTTTTTCTCAAAACTATGGGGTAGGCCTTTGTTAGGTCATAGCACAAAGCTGGTTTATAGAATTGTTATAAGATGATGGTAATTATAATTTTATCTAAAAATAATACAAATAATAATAAACCAATAAAAATATTTTTTCAAAAAAATAACATTAAGATACAAAAATAATACAAATTTATTTAAAGAATAGGAAATTGGCCACTTGAATTGAACTTAGATGGACACCATTTAATTGGAAATGTCATAAAACTCCATCTTCAATTTTGCTCATAAAAAAAGCCCGTGCGTCGCATGGGGTCTTGACTGTACAAAAGATAAAAGAAAATAAGGGCAAAAAAGGTAGGGAAGGTGGGTCCTCACTTGTTATTGACATTCCTGCATGCTAGTGCTATCAATACCACTTCGTCTAGTAATTTATTTTTGGTAAGAATTTCATCTAGTAATTGACCTGTGGAAGGTGGAAGCCTTTGGTCTAATACATCCTTCAATAGGAGGTTTCAATAATCAGATTACAATGACAAAAGTGAGATGAGATCTCTTGATATTGTCTTCCCACCTTGACTTCTAATTATACCATTCTGTAGAGAAAGTTCATGAATTTGCTGTTGAGCCTAAATAACAACTGCGAAACCAACACTTAGACTTTGAAAATGATTGGGTCAAGATACTCAGGGCATCAACCCTGCCCCAATCCAATTTTATATAGGGTTGACATTTTTCCACCTTAAACCTAGACTTAATCCAATCTTCAATCCAATATTGGAACCCTAACCTTTTTAGGATGGATTGGGGTCAGGCTGACCCAATAATCTAAGTTACATCTAAACCAAGGTTCAAAGTATCGATATGGATCGGCTCATATCGGCTGATGTGTATTGTGTCGATGGTTTACCGATACGCCCCTCCAAGGATTGTATCGGGTCAGACACTGGTTCAGAGGGTAGCCAGGCCTTATACCGACCCCTCTGAACCGTTTTCAAAAAAATAAATAAATAAAACTTAAGAAAAAAGTATCGACCTCTGTGTCGATACTTTGAACCTTGCATTAAATCAAGTTATTTGATTTAATTAGTATTTTTTTTTTTCGATTTCGAAGGAATACTCTCTAATGTTGGCTCACCCATTTTGCCACCCCTTTAGGAAACAGAAGAAAAAGATTAGTACACCAAGCAAGCTAGCAAGAAAGGAATGTATATATGGCGATTAAACTCTTAAAGCAACCTGAGATAACCTAGAGATAAAATGCCACCCAGCAACAATACTTCTCATTGGAAGTTCAAACATTCTGTAATATCAAGGAACATGAATTTACCTTTTTGTGTGAGGAGCTAATACAAGTACATATCTCAAACTACTCTGTACAGGTCCTCTCATGAAATGAAACCAGACAAATTGTTGCTACGTAAGGAAAGTATTTTAAGATTCTCAAGCTGGCAAATGGTGTTTGGTATCTCTCCCTGTAATTGGTTTGCACTGAGATCAAGCCTTATTAAAGATGTAAGGTTTCCAATCTCTGTGGGGATTGCACCAGTTAAATTGTTGGAGTCTAAAGCTATGTATTTAAGCTTTGGAAGGCCAAAGAGGTTGTGTGGTAACTCACCCTGCAAATGGTTCACACTGAGATTGAGTGCAACTAGTGAAGTCAGATTTCCAATATCCATGGAGATTGGACCAGATAAGTTGTTGGAAGATAAGGACAAGTATTCAAGCTTTCTAAGGCCAAAGATGTTCTGCAGCTTTCCCTGCAATTTGTTTGCGCTGAGATCAAGCTCAGTAAGTGATGTCAGGTTTCTGATCTCTGTGGAGATGGTACCAGATAAATTGTTTGAACCTAAGTGCAGTAACTCAAGATTTTTAAGGCCAAAGATGGTTTCTGGTAACTCTCCTTGCAGTCTGTTCTTGCTGATATCGAGTGCAACTAATGAAAACAGGTTTCTGATCTCCTTAGGGATTGTACCAGATAAGTTGTTGGAACCTAAGTTCAGGTACTCAAGCCTATGAAGGCTAAAGATGTTCTCCAGCAGCTCACCTTGCAAATGGTTACTACTTAGATCAAGTGCAATTAGTGATTTCAGGTTTCCAATCTCTGCAGAAATTTTACCAGACAAATTGTTGGAAGATAAGGATAGGTATTTAAGCCTTCCAAGACCAAAGATGCTGTCTGGAAGCTCACCCTGAAATTGGTTCATGCTGAGGTCAAGAGAAATTAGTGATGACAAGCTTCCAATATTGGTGGAGATTGTACCAGACAAATTGTTGGAATTCAAGTGCAGTAACTCAAGCTTCTCAAGGCTAAAGATAGTGTCTGGTAGCTCTCCCTGAAATTGGTTCATGCTGAGATCAAGCGCAATTAATGATTTTAGGTTTGCAGTCTCAATGGAAATTGTACCAGATAAATTGTTGGAACCAAAGTACAGATGTTCAAGCTTCCCGAGGCCAAAGATACCATCTGGCAGTTCTCCCTGTAATTTGTTCCCGCTGAGGTGAAGTGTAATTAGTGATTTCAAATTTCCAATCTCCATTGGAATTTTTCCTGATAAATCATTGGAAGATACTGACAAGTGTTTAAGCCTCCCAAGGCCAAAGATGCTGTCTGGAAGCTCACCCTGCAATTGGTTACCATCAAAAGCAAACTCTATTAGAGCACTCAATTTCTGATCTCTAAAGAAAAACTCATTACAATAGAAAAATAAAGAGAGAGATTACAAGGCTTGGTGACAAGGTATTACCCCATTCTGAGAAAAGGATACACAAGGTTTAACATATTCTACCCCACAAATCCAATTGGAAAAACACAGAACAAGCTAACACCAGAAATCAAATACAGGAAAATGCGAACCAAGAAATCCCATTTCAGCTGCTAGAAGCATCCACCATCTCTTTTTAACAAGAAATTTCCTCAATGATTTGAACGCCTCTCTTTTACCTGAACTGATTCCACTTCCTAATTAACCTCTCTCAGTCAAAATGCTCCCAAATCTCTTATGAAGAACCATACATATAGCAGTTAAATTGTTGGAAAATAAGTATAAACATTTTTATTGGTAAACAAGCTTTAAAGCTTGGTTAGGTTTCACAATATGGAAGGTTTAGGAGAAATGAGAGAATTGAACAGGAGATGTAATCTTTGCAATTCTTCCAGGTTCCCTCTCTCTGGTGGGATTAAATATAAAAGTTTATTGTAGTCGAGGAAGAGGAACAAGGAATTGAGTTTTTTCAGTCTGCCTATCTTGGATGAAATCTGTCCTGTGAAGAAATTGCTCCAAAGGTCCAACAGCAACTGTTTCCAATTTGCAAAGAAAGTATGGGGAGAAACTCTCCTAGCAGCTAGTTATGTTGGATATGAAGTTTACACATCATGGCTAGCTTGTATAAGGACAGAACAGATGTAAGATCCCAGTGAAGGAATTACAAGAAATATCAAGGAAAGCATAGTTAACACAAAGACTGAGCTCAGAAGGGATCTCTCTACGTAGTGAGTTTTTATGTAAAACAAGAATTTGAAATGTGAGTAGGGAACTGATGTCAGTGGATACCACACCAGTAAACCTGTTGGGGTCAAACATGAAAATATTTTAGTTATAAGAAGCTTTGATAGATTATGGTTCTTGAAAGGAACTGCCAGAAAAATTGAGGTATTCAATCTTAAGTGAATCTGCTATGGCCCAGTAGGATGATTGAGTCACAAGTCTTTGTTATATCAGATTCCAGCAATGGAGTATTAAAGCAGGGAATTCCAAGGCAAGTGAATCACAGTAAAGACTAAGTTAAGTAAGATAAGACATGATGGAGAACTCTGACAGGTCATGGGATTCTAAGATGTTTGCTTTGGGATCTAAGTATTAACATACCTTTTGGGGATTGCCGAGCTGATTAGGAATTAGACCCATGAGATTGTTGTCAAAAAGGCTAAGAAACCGAAGATCTGGTAGCATGCTGATCTCCAGAGGGATGGAACCATTAAAACTATTGCTGCCCAGGTCCAAATGAATGAGCTTCGAGAGGTTGGAAATGGCTGATGGGATTGCTCCATGGAGGATGTTGATGGTGACATCAAAGTGGGTGAGGTTGGGTAGCAATGCGAAACTGAGTTCATTTAGTGTCCCATGAAGACGTGAATTGGAGAGGTTCATCTGGGCAACACTTCCACCAGTGTTGCAGATGATACCGGTCCAGTTGCAGAGGTTCTGGGTATTGCGGAGAGACCAAGAATTGAGAAAAGCAGAGGAAGATAAGCTGTTCTTCCATTTGACCAGTGCTTGTGCTTCTTCTCTTGTTGATGATGATACCTTAAAACAAAGAGAGAGTAGAAACAGAGGAACAAAAGATGCAAAAATAAGAGGAGGTCTTCGAATTGGTGACATGTCTGATGTTGCTGTAGTTTTCAATTCCTTCATATAATCTTTTCATTCTCTTCCTTAAGTTTAGGCCTACAGGGGGAGAGAGAGAGAGGTGTTAAGAAAGTTTTTCTCTAATCTTTTGTACTTGTTTTTGGAGAAAGAAGAAAGCAATTATCGCGAAATGACACATTTGACTGCAAGTCTTCTGCCATGAACAGATTGTAAGCTGCTCTACCAAACAAAATAAACAAATAAATAACACATTGTAAGCTGGTGAGTCCAGTCTCAACCAAGGCACCGCCCAGATGAGTACAAATAAAATATAGTTATTAAACAAATAAATAACACATTGTAAGCAGTGGGATTGACTTTAAATCTGCTATAAATGCATACAGGGCTTGTAAAATTTGTCAGGTAAATCATCACAAGTAAAATATAGTTATTAAAAGGATTAAAACATTAGTATATCCTTTGTTTTGTATAAAAGTATTAGTATATCTGAGTATCTTTCTTTGGAAATAGTAGAAAATGCGTAAAGTATGAATCCAATAATTATCATTTATAATTTTCAATTTTTGTTGATTTTGTTTTGGAAAAATTATTTATTTAATATTTTTATATAAATAATAGTTCTATTTGTTTTCATTTTTAACATATAATCTATATGCAAAATAAAACATATTAAGATAGATAAAATAAATTATTTTTATAACTTTTGATTCTTATTCAAACTTTGGGGAAAATTAAGCCTAAAATAGATTAGTTTCGTCAAAATAGACACCGATATGCTCAAGTTTGGATCTGCTGTAGTCTTAAAGCAATGGACTCTGCTCTAGACCTAATAATTAAATGCCACTTGTTATTTACACATATGATTTTCTTCTCATGTGTGATAAGTTAACAAAACACACCACTATTATTGGAGTAAATATTTGTTTATCATTTATTTATTTTTTAAATTTCTTGAACGCGTCCTACTTCCACCATTTTTGTTGACCCTCTCGGCCTCTCCTTCCTCCCCAAACCCTCTCCGTCCCCACAGTGTAAGAACAAATGGCATTTGGTCATTGGGTCTACAGCAAAGTCCACTACTTTAAGACTACAACAGATCTGGACTCATGTGTATCAGATTGTATCCATCAATACGATTTAATGCAGCCCCGAAGGCATATTGTGCTGATATGCACAACTCCAAGGGGTACCTGACGAGTTGTGGTGTATTCCATATCCATGATCATCGATATGGATAAGATACGCCCCATATTGGGAGTATTGTATATGTGGGTCGAGGGTATCTGATGTAGGGTGATTTAGCCCGACCTAGTAATAGAGGGACACGTGTACATGACCTAGTTGATAGAATGACAGCTCATCCCGACGTATCCAAGTCTGAAACGGATCAAGCTTGGATAACCGAACCACCTCGGAGCAAACTCACCTCGGAATCGAATCCACCTCGGGACAGGTTTACTTTGGGGCACGATTGTGTCAAGATCAATTTGGTTACTAGGCACCTTGGCGTTCATACCAGATCGGACCCAAGGGCATCAGTTCGGGTACTATTGACCGACCTCCACGTGATAACCCCAAAGATCTCATCACCGGATTCAATGTTTCACGGGATCACGCCTTGTAACAGCTGGTCTTATCTCCTCCAACTGATTCAGACGGTAGAATATGCCTTATCGACTGACATCGTTATCTTCTATTAATTCAGTAACGGGTCTCATTACAGCAAGAATCCCAGAACCACTTCGAATAACACACGAGGACTCTAGTATATAAAATTCCCAACCTTTCAGGGGCAGAGATCCGCACAACTATTGCTTACCTTGCAAACTAAAGCATGATTGATGGATCCAACATCCAAGTCCACTGGTGTAATTAAACAAGAAGGGTGAGTTACAAGGCTTTGCCATTTTAATGCCCTATGCTCCTTTCATGGTGTGCCTCCTAATAAACAGATCGGTGGACTCAATTGAAATGAATGAAATACCAATCAAACCGTGAGGCTTTGCTTCCTTCTCCTTTCTGTAAACCAGTCTGTGTGTCATCTTGAAGGCATGATATGAAATTTGTTTGAGGTAAGAGCAATTGATTCCAATTAATGTATAACCAATAAATAACTTTGTACTAGCTACATTATTAAGTCAGGACTTTGTGTTTGTTTCAGTTAAGAAAAAACAATGACTCATTACTCATATTGAAACAATCAAGAGTAAATTAAATAGTGAACATGCCGGTGCTAGGGCCCATTAGCAGTGTAATTTGAACAAAGTATAAAGTTTTGCACTCTATATATTTATATTTGTACTCCTTTCAAATTCAGCCTAAAGATTATCCCCAGGCCCAGCCCTAAAGGTGCAAACCTTAGGCTAGAGCCTGAGCCTGAGCCTGGCCCCAAACAACTTGAGTATTTAGGCTTAGGCTGAGCTTAGTTGGTTTGGGTGCGTAGATTAGTCGGATTTGAACTTAAAGTCTAATTTTAAGAATAGAATGTGCATTTACAAATATTTGTTATATTAAATCAAGATTTCAATCAATCATGCCAAAGACATTGTATGGTCTACTTACTTTCTGCTGATTCACTTTTCACGAGGTGTACTTTACCATCAAGATTTTAATAATGTTAAAGATGTCAACTATCAATCTGTGACATGTTTGATCACTTGTTAATGTTTTTTTTTCTTCATGGTGCAATTCATGCCCTATAGATTTATAACTGTCGTATTATTTATATGTAGAATATATAATTTAATATAAAATAACATATGGATTCCTGTATACATTATTATGTCATGGTTTTCAAAACCGGATCAGACCGGATGGTCGGACCGGAAAAACTGGGAACCGGTCAAGTGACTGGTTTCGGTTTTCTCCAAAACCGAAAATTTACTCAAAACCGTTGATTTTTACCAGCAAACCGCTGACCCGGATGGTTAATCGTTCGAACGGTTTTGACTTTTTTATTTTTATAAATTTTTTTGTTAGAACAGTTGGACCGTTCAACCTGATAACCGAACCCCTTAAGTATATGTCCATCAGGCTTAAAATATTAGGCCCAGGCCCAGGCCAGGGGCTAAACACAAAACCTAGACCCAAGCTCAAATTTTTTGGGCTAGGCTTGGCTGGGGCCAAGATGAAATAATCACCCTACACATGGGGTGTTCGTAGTAGATCCCACTGGTCTAGATCTCTGATGCTGCTCAAACAGGAATTTCGGTGAGATCTCATGTGTACAAAACATTGGTGTGTTCATTCGTGATCGGCTACTAGCCTGGTTCACATGACCAATATTATCCCATTTAGTTTATGCTTATACTTAGGTGTACATTAACCTATGGAAATTTATCAAAACTCATGGGGTCTTCACCTGGACCTTTATACTAAGGGTATAAATCAACCCATCTAGTGATTTTTGATGAATTTTTCATTGTAGGATGATGTCAATGTGAAACCAATATGCTTCCCTTTTTTCAGCCATATTTATGTGGGGCAAACAGGGATTCTGCTGCTTTATATTAGGAACATCTTCATATGGATTTAACATACATGTACATGAGATATTCCTAATGTATGGCTGGATGCCATGTGTGCATAACTTTTTCCCAGAAAAGATCTAGACTCCCAAAATGCACCTAAATTTTGTAATTGTGAAGTATGCTGTGCAAAGTGTAATGGGTCCAAGTCCACCGATGTAGTTAAATAAGATGGGTGAGTTCCAGGACTTTTTCCATTTTATTACTCTGCATGCTCCTTTCATGGAGTGCCTAGCTTCTAGTACACAAATGGGTTCAATTTGTAGACCATGAAATGTCAATCAAACCTTGAGATCCTATTTCCTTCTGCATTGTGTTTCTCATGCGGTTAAACCAGTCTTTACATTGCCTTGAAGGTGTGATATGAAATTTGTTGAATATGGCTATTTGTAGGAGACAAGAGCAATTGATCCTAATTAATGTATAACCAATAAATAACTTGTGGTAGATGCATAGTAAGGAGTTTGGTTTATTCTAGTTAAGATTCAATAGTCAGTACTGAAACAGTCAGGACTCAGGAGCAAAATAGGCCCGCTAGGAGTGCAATTTGGTCCAGTTAGCTTGGGTCGAATGTCGATCGAAGCCCAACCCTAAAGATCCTAACATCAGGCTCGAGCCCGATTGATACTAGCCTGGCTCAGCCCAAGCTTAACTTAATATGACTCTGATTGGGTTTGGGATCAAGTCGGGCTTAGTTGGGCTTGGGTGGGTTGGTCAGCTTCGAAAGACTTTATGTATGTATTTTTATATAGCCATCTTATCTTGAACTTAAAGGTCCAATTTAAGAATAGAATTGATTTGTGAATCCAACTACAATTACGGTGCATTTACAAATATTTGTTACATGTTAAATAAAGATTTCAATCAATCATATTAAAGATATCACATGGTTTGCTTATTTTTCATTGATTCATGTTTCATAGGTATAACTAACATCTTCTTAGTATTCCAGAAAGAGGTGTCATTAGATATGTATTTTTGCTTTAGGACCTTAAACCACAAGCTGTTATTCTTTGTAAGAAACCTCCAGATGAGCTTCACTAATAGATTCTTATTGATGTTTGTGATGTCTCAAAAACCTTTATCTAAGCATCCCCACCAAAGATCTCTGCACAGAATGTTAATCTTTAATTGTTTAGAGATTAATGAAGTGGACAGGAAATAATTGGGAATACTTTCTAAGACACTTTTAATAAGCACACTACGACTAGCCTTGGACAGAAGTTGTGGCTTCCAATTCTATAATCGACTAGTGATTTTATCCACCACAAGTTTCCAGTTATCCTTGTAGCCCCATTGATATTCAAAGAAAGCACCCAAGTCTCCTTTATTTTCTATTCCCATGAGAGTGTTTGGTTTTCGTTCCTTTGTCCATAATTTGTCTCCGTCTCATAGTAAGTTAGACCCTCGGTCTATTCCATGTATTTTTCTAGGGTATCCCTCCTCTTAAAAGGGTTACTGGTGCTTTGATCCCATTAGTCATAAGTTTTTTTGTTTCTATGGATGTTTCCTTCTTTGAGTTTAAACCGTTCTTCCTTGCTTCTCCTCATGGAGAGAGT